AGAAAAGTATCAAGAGAGGAACAGAAAAATGAAAAATTAAATAGTGTCATCTAACCAATAGTTTTCGAGAATATTTGGAAGAACATGCGTGATAAGCGTTCCTCCAAAGATAGGGAATAAAACTGGAGTCAGCTCTAGCAAGGGAGAAACTAATACAGTGTTTATATGCCACATACAGAACATGCTGAGAGATACATTGAAAATGCAAAAAACCAACTCCAAAACTTCAAGCCATTCAGCTTATCTGAGCGCCCAGCATGTATCAAAGGGCAGTGAAGGCAGTTGTCTTAAGTGACACTCTTAGCATGATGATAAGAATCAAGTGAGTCACTGTTTATAAAGCTACACTGAGAGGTTAAAAAGCTTCCATGATTCTCAAACTTTAGAGGACAACCAAGTCTCCTGGAGGGTTTATGAAAACACAGATGGCTGGGTCCCACCCACAGAGTTTCTGGTTCAGTAGTCTGAGCTAAGGCCCAAGAATTTGCCTTTCTAACCGGCTCCCAGATTTCCCTGATACTGCCAGTGCTGGCTCACATTCTGACGTCTGAAGAGTAATGTAATCATTGGATAGTAAAGGTCTAAGTTCAGATAGTAATGAAATGGATTTTTAAAAATTATTTTACTTTTCCTATGCCTGTAAATTAAAGATGTTTTACATTCATATTATTCAGGTCAATAGTCAAATAGAGACACTCTAAGCTGGAGAGAATTGAGTCTATGGGTCCCAGATCTGTTCCACGTCCCCAAGACCTCTTTTGAGAATTTCTGTCGTAGGGACTCAGGACTTGCAAATATCATCCCAAACCCATATTTTATTAAGTAACCACATGTATGAACATATGGACCATTGTCTGATACTCATTAAGATCTGAATATACAGGAAATAACTCCAGGTCACCCATTGCACAACAGAGGGAATATCAGGGGACATTGATTGCTTGGGTCAAAATCCTCTATCCATCACTTTACCAAAAAAAAAAATTATGTTTTGAAGAGGAAGTTACCTACCTAAGTTCACACAGAGATGAATAAAGTAGAATGGATAAGAATCCAGCATGTCTGACCACTTCCCCAGGCAACGCCCTTTCTAAATTTCCCAAACTCCCCTGACCCTAACCCTAACATGTACTCCCTCAATACTTCAGAGTCATGACAGCCCAGAGAGTAGGTTTCCATGTACCCTCCTAGAGACCGAGCCCTGCCAACTGCTCTGGGAAGGGGAGTCTTAGAACTCAGCAGAAAGGCCTGCCAGGTAACTTAAATGCACCATGTAGACACACAAAGGGGTCCGGCCATAGGGACAACAAAATCCACAGAAAGATCTTCATTTCATAGGAAATGTCTATTGGCATCCCACATAGATTGTCAAAATGCCACGAAACAATGCACAAATTGTGTCTGTTTCACCCAAACTATCTAAACTTAAAGGAACTGTCAGCCCTCACAAGCATTGTGCCCAAATCCCTGGGGTAAGACCATCCGGAGAAAAGCAAAGCCAATCCATGCCACTTATTTCTTTCTCTGATGCAAATGGCTTCAGGAATTATTTCTGATCAATGTTTATTTTCTAATTATTAAATTATATGGGGCTAGAGAGTCCCCAGAATTCTAAGTTACCATTGTTTCCAGTTACAGATAGTCAGTGAATATTTGCTAATTAAGTAAATTATTTCAAAATAATTCTCCTGGGTATAGAGAGGTTTAGATATGACACATGGGGGGAAAAAAAGAGGAACAAAAGTAATTAGAAGGCTCCACGGTCCCTGGATTACATATGAATGATCATCATGATCTTAATTCACTTGTGAGTATTTGCTGTGGTAAAGGAAAATTGTTGATGAATTATATCCATTATTTTCAACACAGTTTTATGTTACTATGAACCAAAGGAGGCTGGATTTTTACAAGGACCATAATCTATTTCACTAAGACAGACAGAGTTGAGATTAGTTTGGTACATATCAGCATGGCAACCGTGCGTGTTAAAATATTAAAACACTTCCATTCTAATTGATCAGTTACCATGGCTTTGAAGTGAATTGTTACCTCAATATGCCAAAATACTTCAATGTGTCAATGTGTCATCACTTCCTTCCTTCCACATAGAGCCCCAGGACTTCCCCACAATCCAGCAACTTATTAGACAGTAATGCCTGGAGATGTGGGGGCATCCAACCCCGTTAGAGCACTACAGACCAGCATATGAGTAGCTCTTCTAATCAGTCAAAGTCTTCTGTTATACTGGTTACTAAAATATCAACTTTATCCAAGAGCTGAATATGAACTCTTATAGCTCACACTGCTCATTTATTAACAAAAACTATAAGCATTCAAATTTTATGAATGAGCATGGTCAGAATTTGTTTTAAAAGTTGTAATTATGGTGACCTTAGTCTAGAGCTTGAAAGTGCAAATGTTTTAAATCCATTGACTCTTCCTATCCATTTTCCACTATGAAACTCTCACCTCCTGATCTCAAAAGCTGGAATCGTCAGATTATATTTTACGAAGGTCAGGAGTCAGCTTTCATTCCTTTCCCCAACTGTGTATATTAACTGTACTATAACTGAAGACTTCAATGAGGTGTGTTGCATTTTCACAACACCTGGCACACTAGAACTAACAGCATATGAGCTCCAAAGGCAACACCTGGTTCTGGCCCATGATAAAGATCCTTAATGTTGATCTAAGTCTGAAACTCTTGGCTTTTGTAATAGTCAGCCCATCTTAGACATAACACTTACAAGGGCCTATGGCATCAAGTAAACCTTGACCCCACATGACATAGCAAGGCTCTATTTCCTTACTTTCACTCACCCACTTTGTAGGAGACACCAAGCGCCAGATGACATCCAAGCAAGATGATCTGCAGCTGAGGCGTGGACCTTGGGCT